TGTGTCTGGGTAGGTTGGACGCCTGATCTCATCCTGTATAGTCAAAAAGGAGGAAGGAAGTTGGTCCCCCAGCTGCCTGCCTCTCAAATAGTTTCTATCAAGTCTGATCAGAAGCACTTAAAGGGGACACGGCTTTAACAGAAATACAGAAAATAAGTCATCCTTTTCAGTGTCAGAAATTAAGCATATATAAAAAAGTTTGACAATTGTTGTCTTTCAGGTTAATTGGCAAAATATTTCAGTCTTCATTGGTTTTTTGCTTTTGTTGCTGTTGTGCTTTTTAAAAAGTAAATTCTTCCTTGGTTCAAGGGTAAGCGTTATTTCAGTTTTAATTTTTGAAACACAGGCATAAGAGAAATTAATTTCCTTTGAGCTAAGTATTTATCTTGTCAAAAGTAATTAGCTAACATGGTTTCACTTTACATAATTTCTAGAGCCTTTTATTTTGACAGCAGATTTGGAAAGTGTTTGTTTCGAGAAAAGGAGGCTAGGGATGCTAATTATTCCACTGACTCCGAGATTGTTACGTCCATGTCCCTTCAAGGTGTATGAGCACTTCTCTGCAAAAGGTGTATTTAATCAGTGTGGCTCCAATATAGATCTGGGGTGTGTGTGTGTGTGTGTAATGACCATAGATCACAACTCAGGACTCTTCCTTCTTTAGCTTGGAACTTCTCCCCCAGCATTATGCTCAGAGATGCACTGTTATCAACCTGGCTTTCCTCTTTGAAGACCAAACTCGTTGGTTTATACTTCCCACTGACTGCTTTTGTTTTTTATAGAATTTCTTCAATTTCCTAATCTTCTACAGAATTTCTTTTTTTGCCTCAATTTTTCTGCAAGGGTAGCTGCTTGTGTGGTATTAGGCCTCGTAGTCATTGTATTTGAAAATACCCCCAGACTTGGCCAGGCTCTTTGGGGGCAGGGACTTTCACATTTCCAGCACCAGGCATCCACATCCAATAAAGCAGTAGATAAGTGGGACAGGGAGAGACCTACTCTGTTTACTTCCCAGAGTTGTTGACTCAGTGCCTCTTACCTGCCAGGCTCTGCTTGTCTTGGGCTTTGGGCATAAAGAGGTGGGAAGATAAGCAGGTCCTGCTGGCACTGATGGGGCACTCGAGTCACAGGTGTGGGCGGCTGTTTTCACTGCTGAGGATAGAGAGGCTCATTCAGCCACCTCAAGCAGTGGAGCATTTTCCTTGTAAGGCTGCTCCAGGATGAAAGGAGATTTGAATCGGGTACACTTCCGTGTCTCCTGGGAGCAGAGGAATTAAGACCCATCCCATCAACTGACGGGATGTCTGGTTGGACAAGTGTGAAGATATTCACAGGAACACAGGACTCTCAGTATTCCACTGGAATGGGACTTGGGAGAAAGTCAAACCTGTATAAACATTTCTGTATTTTTCCTTGAGGATTATTAAGCTCTTAGGTTATGTATCTTTTAAAATGTTAGAGGAGTTTAATATATTCTTCGGTCTTATTTGTGTCTGTCTCTCGGCAGATGATACATTCCCTGCACTGTTCCTTCTATATTCTCCTAGTCTCTAGTATTGTGTGTGTATAAATATATTCACACAATATCCCAAGAATAGGAAAATCTAAAGGTGGAAACCAAGTGTAAGAAAACCTAATTTGATTTAGTACATTTAAAGCATCATCTGCTAACCTTTTCATGAATCAATTCTGCTGTTTACTTTGTGCATTTAAAAAAAGGCAATGTTAAAATTGGTAATACTCAAAATAAACAAACATAAGTCTTATATTTGAATAGAAATTTATAGTTTAACAGGCACTTTCAAAGATGTTAATTTTTTTCTTCTTAAAAGCCCCTTGATTTGAGGGCAGATCTTAACTGCATATTTTGAAAACTGAGAATTTAGATTAAAGTTCCTTGATTCCTCCCAGTTTTCATGGAGGGCAGTGGGGCCAGCAGTGGGGCCCAAGCCTCCTGACCTCACGTCCTTCCTCCTCTTCCTCCCACTCCTCTCCCTTGTGCTTGGGTTCCTGAGAGAGAGAGAGAGACCAAGCCCGCCCTGCCCAGATGAACTCTGCGTTACTTCCAGCAAAGCCGCCACCCTGAGTCTCAGCCTTCTTCCCCATTTTAGTAGCTGGATTGAAAAATCTAGAAAAATTGTGAAGATTACTGTTAGCTTGCCAGAAGTTTGTGCAGAAGACACTTGTATTTCATCCCTGCAAGTGGATATGGAGGAATATGGTTATGAGAGCTTGGATTTTTGGTAATTGTTGTCAAAACCCAGAGTTTTCCTTGACTGCTATGTACCACTTGCCTGGTGGCTCCGTCTTCTTAACTGCTCAATCCTGTGCCCTGTTTACTCTTGGGAAATGGAAGTCATAGTCACACTACCAGTCTTCCCACAATTTAAAAGTTGATATAATTTTTAGCAAAAATAGGAGAAATAAAGGCAAGTAATTGATAGTAAGCAAAATGTGTTTTATTGGGCATGTGCCATTGTTTGTACACAAGAAGACATAATGTAGTTAGATTCTCCCACTTACATGTTGAATCACTAAGAATATGAAAGCTGCAAATGTAGTCTGATCAGGTATGTTGTACCGGCCATTCGAATACCCTCAGGGGCATTACAGCTGTGACATAATTTTTTGAAACAATGAACATCTATTAGTAAAATTCTAAGCAAAACAAAATACAAAAAAAACCCAAATTCCTTTAATTTCTGTTGTAGAAAATTTGATGGATATTAAAACTGCATATAATAATCGTCTTTGTACATAAACAGTATTAAAGTTTAGACTCAGATGGTTAGAAATTGACTTGTTTGCCAACATGAGTGACCAGTGGGATATGTGAGAAGTCGCACGCTGTAGGATTCACGACAGGTCTTTGTTGTACAGGACTGCTCTGTGTGCTGTCTGTCACATGCCAAGGGTATTCTCTGAAATATTATGAGAGTTGAAAAAAATTGCTCCCACAGATTTAGAATACTCCTCCTAGATGGCAATGCCACTTTGTTGAAAATCTCTGCCTGAAACACTTTAGAAAGACAGAAGGGGAGGGTATAGCTCAAGTGGTAGAGCACATGCTCAGCATGCACAAGGTCCTGGGTTCAATCCCCAGTACCTCCTCTAAAAGCAAACAAACAGACCTAATTATCACCCCTCCACACACACACACACACACACACACAGAAAGACCCAGAAACCTAAGGGACCCCTAGGGAACAAAGATGACCCAACATTTCAAACCTGAAGCTCCTAGTGCTGTGATTTCATTGTCTAGAGAGGCTCGATGGGCAGGAGGAGAGTGTGTGCTCTGTTTTCTCCCCAAGGCTGGGATATGCTTTTTCCCTTTGTCTTGCCTTGGTCAGCCTGCACTATCTGTGCTGCCTTCCTGTGGCTGAAGTTCTTTGCACCCTCTCCTTTCTCTGTCCTTGTGGCTTGCTGGGGAGGCTTTCTTTAGACTAGATGCTGAAGGAGTTGTGGAAAAGGGGTTTGAAAGTGTCCAAGAAAACGTAGAAAATTTTTTTTTAGTATGGTATATGAAATATACATATAGTTTACCTGATGGAAGGTTTTTATATAACTCATTTGTGACTTTGCAGCTACATGGCTGAATTATTTTGGTCCATAAATAGTGAAATTTTTATCTCGATCAATTTGGAGGGTATGATTTTGCTATCAACTGTAGTGTTTGCATAATTGGGTTTGTGATTATTTCACAGTTAATCCTAATAATAACAGAGATCAATATGGAAGGAAATATTTACCTATTATTGTGTGATTTCAGTAATCTGTATTTTTGCTTTCTGTTCTCTCTGAGGCAGCATTTTGGTGCCAGGTGCGCCCAAATTCAGATTCTCAAACTCTGCCACAGGGTGACCGGGTGATCCAAAGCAAACTAATCAGTATCTCTGAGCCTTATAGTAGAATGTGGTCATTGGTAATATGGCGATACTGATGTTTAACAGCATGGTTGCAAGGGTTGGTGTAAAACACCTGACAGTTTTCTTCTAGTACTTATTCCTGGGCATCTATATTTTTTGTGCAATATAATCATAATGCTGTCAGAAATACTTTTTTCATTTGACCTATTTCCATAGTGTAAACAATTTTTATAAGTACTGTTTTAAAAGTATTGAAGTATTAAAAAGTATTGTAGTAGACACATGACATTGTCACTGGAATATACTGTGTGGTATGTGATGTCCTTTCTGTATATTATATGAACTATAAATGTACCTGCTTCTCTCAAGAAATAAAGTTTTTAAAAGCCTCATTTCTTGAGATAACTGAGCAAAACCAAGAAGAAACAACAGAGCTGAGTTGAATACAGGGAGTGGCCAGGAGTGGGGTTACCAGCTGAGAGTGCACTTCCACATACCAGCTGAAATTGCAGCCTTCCGTAGACAGATTTGCATGGCATGGACCTTTGGGTTGCTCACAAATTGACAAAGCCACAAATACTAAATCTGAGATCAACAATATACCATCCTTCACCTAAACTAATTTCAGTATACGTGAGCATTTTTAGTTTTGTTTCCAAATTTTGTCACTGAAAAAATGATGTTGTTGAAGAGATGTATATATATATTGCTTTTTCCTTCTCTTGTGGTATTTCCTTGGGATAAATCTTGTAAAGGTAGAGTTACTCTATTAAAGGAAGACAAACCCTTTGTGGCACTTGGTGTAATTGCCAAATTGTTCCCAAAAATATTATATAGATTTACACTGTCCCAGTTAAGTGGTTTCAGCCACACATAACTAGGGATTTTTATGTAAGATGTTTTGGGGGGACTAATTTAACAGGTGAAATATTGATTTTAATTTATATTTCTTTGCCTACTAGTGAATTTAAACATTTAATTTTCATATATTTATGATATTTCTTCTGGCATTATTTATTCATTCATATCTTTCTCCTATTTACCTGTGGGATCACTTAATAATTCAGGTCCTTTTTGAAGTTTTGGATAAATTAAAATTTTATCTAATACTATTTTGCTCTTCTCTTTCAGCTCCAGTAATAAACCGATTCACGAGGCGTGCCTCAGGTAAGTCAGATTATGGGTTTTTCTTACTAATGGTGACATTTTAGAAATGGTGGTAGTATTGGACAAGAAGGTACGAATAATTGCTAGAGATTAGTAATTTATTTGTCAGTCGTTTTCCTAGAAAACCATCTGATAAAATCAAGGACCAGAAGATAATTGGAAATATTCTCTGAGTGGCTAACCTGAAAATTACACTGCACTGAGGCTATTGTATGAAGACTCTTATCCCAATTTGTTTATTTCTGCTCTTAATAAATTATTATCTGCATGATTATCTGATTTACCAGCCATAGTTTAGAAGCAGTGATTTAGAGCTTGGGTAAAGGGACACTCTAGAAACAATATGGGAGGAGGGTTTTTAACAAGGGCCAAGAAAACTCTTAATATGCAGATGTAAGATAATAAGATGGTCATCCTGGGGCCATTTATAATAGGAGCAAATTGCCTTAGGTCTGTTAATACCCTGGGGCTGCTGCTGTCCTTCAGATACCAAAGTAGCCTCATCTTCACAGTGACAGACCTTAGCCACTGACAGTTTCACTGTACTGGGTACCAACTATATGACATTGGTGGGGAAGTACAGGACACGGTTGAGAGCATCTCTATTCTAAATGGTTTAAGTAAAATGAGTTTGGGCAGTGAAATGGATAAACTATCATTTGGAAAATTCACCTCTGTGGCATACCTTCTTGTCTGACAAATGAAGTGCTACCATGTTTAGTTTAAGAAAATGACTCTTTTTTTAAATATAATAAGTTTTTTTGGTTGAAAAACACAAGATAAAATTTCAGACATATATATTGTTTATATAATACAAATGACTAATCTATTTCATAAAAGTACCTTATTTTCATCTGCGCTGCATTTTTAAAGCTGTTTTAAGGTTGAGTTTTATTTTTAACTTGTCAGAAGTTACTGGTATAATTTACTCTTATTATGCTGTGATCAGGTCTATAAGGAAAAAGACAAGGGGTTAGGAAAATATGCTATATTGAGTTGGTCGTTACTTTATCCTCCTGAGCTTTTTGTTAATGTCAAGGCATATCTGTTTTAAATACTGAAAGCAAAGAGTAGATTATAATGCCTTTTGTGAAATGAGAGATTATGTTTATGTCAGTAAGACATCAGACTTTATCCCAAAGTAGAGCTATCAAGAGTGATTGTATTCTTTCTGGTTGTAGAATGTAGTCTTTTATGAACTGGTGGGTGGAAACAGAAGAATAGAATCAGTGTGGTATCTTGTTTTCGTGATGTTAGATTCCCTCCACAGAAATGTTAAGACTCAGAATTTCTAAGTTACCTCCTTTTCTGCCTCTAACTGTAACACATGAGAGATTTATTTCTGGTCAAATTCTAGTATTTGTTGTTCAATACTCTTAGCATCAGTTGATGGGTTAGAGGCTCCAGAATGTAGGTTTGTTTTGAAACACCGTAATTTCAGTCCCTACTGCCACTGCGAAGTGTGTGTCCAGTGTATCTCAGCTGGATTTGGCTGGAGATGCAGACAAGATGGAATGCCAGCAAAGAAATACACGTTCAAGTCAAATGTTGCATTTATTGCGAGGGTGACAGGCAATAGGAAATGTCAGTGAAAACAATAGGAAGTAACTTGATTTAAAGAAAAAATGATACCAAGTTCAGGAGTCATGTTGTATAAGCCTTAAAAGGCGTTAATATTGTTACCCTAATAATAGAACACGCTGGAAAGCACCCTGAGAATGAACTTTGACATTGATTATTGGAAGGAAAAGAGAACTAACTTATGAGGTACCCCGATGGATCAGGTACTGTGCTAAATATTTTATACACATTTTCAGTCTTTCAGATAAGGGAAATAAAATTATATTTGCTACCTTAGATCAAAAAAGAACAGTAAAAAAAATTAAAAAAATAAAGAACAGTAGTCTAAGGAAAAGAAAAATTAATGGGACCTATTTATCATGTCTGTGATTTATTTTGACTTTTTTATTTTTCTTAAATGAAAGTTTGTCTAAAAGTTTTCTGGCAAAGAAGACAGTAGAAATGATCTTAATACTTCTTGAGGAAATTCTACAGTTCTCTCTGTTAATTTAGTTTAATGGCTTAAAGTAATTTAGTAGACGTATACTTCAGTTTCTTTTAAAGTAGCATTCCCTGAAAATAAAAAAATACATGTCTCTTAAAGTATAGCAATTCATACTTGATAATTCTTAGAATGTCTTTTTCTGATGGAGTTTTAGTTCAGAAATACTTATTCTTTTCAGAAATAAACTGTAAATTTAAATTTGTAATGTGATACCTGTAAATTAAAGGGGAAAAAAATCAGGTAAAATCAACCAGAATTGTAGGACATAGGAGTTTGTTTCTTATTTGTCTATCTTTTAATAATAATTAGAACAATAAACACTGTACATATACATTACAAAAATAAATGTACTCTATGTAGTGCTAGGTATTCAATCACTTTTTGATTGAATGAAATTTTTAAAATGATGTTATGATGTATTTCTAATTTCCTAGCTGATTTTCCTAAATCTTTGAGGTTTTGGGTTTGATATTGATACCCCATCTATCAAAAATAAATATTTCACCCTGAATACTTCAAACAAAATGTTTCTCCCTTTTATGCCTTTTCCTTTTATTATGATCCATGAGGATTGGGGGGAATGTTTATATTAAGAATGTGTTTAGCAAATGCATTATTTGGGATCATTTTTACACTTTTAATAACACTGTTTCTGCCGAACTGTCCTCAGGTGTTTTCAGTGCCTGCCCACAAACCTGTTGATTTTTATTTCTGTTAAGTCAAAGGAATCAGTTTCACTTGGTATTTTCAAACAAAATTTCCAGAATTTTGAGAGTTTGTAGAGGTTTCAGGGTTTCATAAGCTAGTTTTCCACTTGGCTCAGGAGGGAAAGGCATATCGTGGAGGGTGATTACTGGATAAAAGCAGGTGGACCTTGGAAGAGTAGGATCTTGCTTACGCATTACATTGGATGAGTTCTACAAAACAGAATGTGACTGTCAGATGTCTTCTGATATCCAGATAAAATGTCTCTCTGGTATCCTCCTGACAGCTCCCCATAACCTTAGTTTCTTTGTCTGTTTACTTATATTTTTATTGAGATATAATTGACATGTAACATTGTGTATGTTTAAGGTGTACAGCAAGTTGATATGGTACACTAAAGTACTATAGTATGATCTACCCATAACTTTATTTTTAAACAGCACCCCATAGCCCTATTTTTAAACAAAAGAAAAAGATTTGCTTTTGTTCTTTTTTGACCCATTTCTAATCTGAGTAGTCACTTCTGATCAGTATGTCTTTAAATACACAGAAGTCATCCACGTAATCTTTCAGATTTTTGATGGAATAAACACTGGGGTTTAATTTTTCTTAAAGTTTATGATGGACTTTTTGTTTTATGAAGATTATTCTTTTTGGTGAAAAATGGAAATTTACCATAATTTATTGTTACTATAAATTAGTGGTGGTAGTAGAGAGAGTAGCTTAATAAATCTTTGAAGAGTAAAACTTTAAGCGACCGACAGTCCTACTGCTTCGTTGTTCATCTAGTGTATTAGATGGGAAAGAGCCCAGGCTGTACAGTTAGACAGATGTCGTGATTTGGAGTTCCATTTCCACTTCTGTTCTAAGAAATAATTACGTATTAGAACAGGTAATACTCAACAGCAGTCTGTGGCAGCAATACTAAATGTCAGTGCCAAGATTTCCTGGCCAGCTAAAACCACCCATTTACTCTGTGACTTTGTGTGTAAGTTATTTACCTCATTCAGTTTTACTTTCTTATTTTTATTTCCTTTTAGTTTGGATTGATAACAACTATAGTCACGTTATGAAGGGTAAGTCAGGTGGTTTATGTAAAGCAGAGTGTCTAGTTTTTTATTGAAGTGTAGTCAGTTTACAATGTTGTGTCAGTTTCTGGTGTGCAGCACAATACTTCAGTCATACATGAACATACATATATTCGTTTTTATATTTTTCACCATAAGTTACTACAAGATATTGAATATAGTTCCCTGTGCTATACAGTATAAACTTGTTTATCTGTTTTATATATAGTAGTATCTGCAGATCTCAACTGAACATTGTGTAAAACAAAGCAGTAAAATGCTCAGCTCTGTGCCTCAGTCTGTCATGAGGAAGCCTGAGAGAGTCATACCGCTATATGATATTTAGCCTTTTATATGGGCCTCTCTTTTCATTGTTGGCACATTGCAGTTTTTTAAAACATTATAATGGTTTTCCTTATAAAGATTCCTTCCTTTTGAAAGATTATAATGGTTCTGGCTCTGAACTGAAAAACAAGTTGAAATGACCCATTAATTCTGAGACAGTGCCTTCTCCTGAGGTCAGACCTCTCTCTGAATTTTTTTCAACTCCAGTATTTTGCTTTGGAAAAAGTCAAGCTTACAGAAAAGTTTGAAGAATAGTTCAATAAACACCTTTATCTAGATTTCCCAAATGTTAATATTTTGCCCCATTTGTACACTCTTTTCTCCCCTTCCTTGTACATTCACAGACACACACTTTTATATTTTTTTACTGAACTATTTAGAAATCCTAAATACTTCGTGCATATCTCCTAAAAACAAGGACATTTTCTACAGACTATAACACAAAAGGAATTTGACCTTGATACCGTGCTATTATCTAATCTGTAGTCAGGAGTCCAGTTCTTCTGTTGTCTTGCTAGGTCCTCTCTCCCTTGCTCTCTCTCCCTCTCTTTTTTATTGAAGCCCATTCAAGGATTTTACATTGCATTTCATGGTCATGACGCAGTTTTTCTTGTCTTTCATAAATTGACTCCCTGAAATTTTTGAAATCTGCTTTTTCAGTGTCCAGACAGTTATCCCCAACAATGAAGCGGCTGGTTCCCCGTATCGCCTGTTACGAGCTCTCAGATCGCACGAGCACACCCAGTGTCTGGTCATGGTGCCCCACTGATGGCCGGGAAGTCTTGGCACTAACATTTAGCATTGCTGTCACAGACTGC